AGTCAACATAGAGAGACCGAAGCTAATTGCTTTTTGTATTGCCCATTCTTTCCAACTAAAAATACCTGATATTAAAGCATTGCCTATCTGAGTCAAACCAAAGGCTACTAAAACAGCTCCGGCAATGACTTGAACAAGTCCTATCATTGCAACGGCAAAAGCATTCCAATCCCACCAAGATTTATCTTCTTCAATAATCAAAAGTTTATTAAGATTAAAACCTTCAAAAAATCTTAATTCACTTGGAACATTTTCTTGATCTTGAAGATCTATAAAATCTTTTAAATTAGCTTTTAAACCTTTTTTAAATGAACGAGTATCTCCTTGTAAAGACAAAATTTTCGACAAAATTAATTCTTTATCATTTTCAAATTGAATATTTTTTAAAATTCTTTCAATATTTCTTTTAATATCTCCATATTTATATTTGGCAAGTCCACCAAACTTTAAAATATTTTTTTCTTTTAGATAAATTCGAATATTATTTCCTTCTTCTTCTTTAATAGTAAATGGTAAATCTGTTTGATAAAAATATTGATTTTGTTGACTAATATTATCTTTTAATTCTATTAAAAATATTTTAAGATCTTTTGTTTCATGACCATTCCCATTAAATTTAATTTTCGCATATTTTCCTTTCTATTGATTGTTCAAATAGAGAAATATTAACTTGTTGTGGATCTATTTTATCTTCTAAATCTTTCCAAACATTTTCATATATCCGTGATAATTCTTTTTCTATTTTATTTATATTTAAAATTTGCCATAATTCTTCACTATAACAAACAATATCGTCGAAATCTTTTTTGTTCAAAGTAAGATTTACTATTTAATAAACTAATTAATGGATCGGCAATCGAAGGATCAAGATCATTTCGAATTATCTTTTCTATTTTATCTCGTTCTTGTGAATTATTTCGAAATATTTTTCTTATTGTATCTCCTTGAATAATTTCAAATTGAACTAAAAGTGAATATAATTCTTTTCCTTTATCTTGATCTTCACGAGTTAAATTTTGTTCATCTTTTGGACGTAAAATAAAATAAAATGGTTCTACTGTATCTCCAACAGCTTCTAATTTTCCTGTTATTTGATCTTGATAAAAATTTTCTTTTGAAGAAACTTTTTTGAAGGGTGTGGGTGTGTGAATGTGGGTAGGGGTCTTCTCTTTATCTACACCCACACCCAAATTTGAACTTAGCTCTACACTATTAGAGAACCTAAAGAGAAGTCTCTGATCAAAATGCACTTTTTCCTGGAAACGAACTTTCTTCAAAATAAAAGGCAAAGCAACCAGACTATTTAATTTAAATTGATTACAATAGCTGATTTTCAACATTAATCGTTTGAATAAGAAAACAATTATTAATGTCTTCATTCAATTTACTAATTTAATCAAATAAATAACAGACACAACAGATATACAAAGAGGTTAATATAAAAAAATCATATTGGATTTCTTCATATGAAAATACTGGCAAAGAGTTCGTCTGTCTTGATATAAAAATTCAAAAACTATTTTCCTCTTATGCAACCATGATCATATGATGCCTGATCTGTTGTACCTAATCATACTAATTGAATCTTGCGATCAGCAGTTCATATGAGTAAGAGTTCTGGACTAATGACTATTTGAATTGAACTGAGGTCATTTGAAAAAAGAAACATAAATTAAATTTGAATAAATATTAGAACATAAAGAAAATTGTTTATGAATCTTATCAAAAGACTCATTGTTTAATACGTTACAATCGGGAGAAGTTACTTGATATTTTAAACAAAAAACTTTACACAAATATTCTTTAAGCATCAACATCAATCTGAATTCTATCATATATATCGAATATAAATATGTCAATAAATCTTTTATTATAAGCCTTTTTATTGATAGAAACTTCTCATAAAAGTAACGAGAAGAATATCATTTTATAGAGGGACATTTGCAATTTTCTTTAAATATCATTTAGATCAAATTTTTCTTCTACTTTTCAAAGATTCACTTATACTTCTTAACATATGGTTCTTACGAAAATTCTTTTACACGCATAGAACGTTAAAACACAGCTTTATCAAAATTCTTTCATTGAAAGTCTAATGAGAAAAGAAATATATGGTTGATTAATTAATTGATTTATTATTATTGAGATTTCTTTTACAAAATCAAATATTTTCTCTATACATAATTTGAGTTCTAAAAAAGCAGAGACACTTTTCAGTCAACGAAATTAACATACTTCGAGTATAACAAAATATTTTCTTATTATTGTCAACAGATAACAAACTAATTGAAATTATAAGATTTAAATAAATAAATATAAAGCATAAACAAAAGATACCTCATATTCAGATCAATTTTATTAACTAATAATCTTAGTAATTTCCTGTTATACATTATTTTATTATTTCTTTAGTTCAATTATGCATTGTAACAAGCTCTCTTCAAATGAAATGTTTTTCTTGTACATTTTTTCACCTATTATTTACTCACGTTCGTTCACTTTTTTTGGAAAGAAAAACAAAATAAATATCGCAATAAAACTGTCCCTTTTACAAACACTCGATAACTACATCAGTTCGTTTCATAACGAAATCGGCAAAAAAATACCAATTGAACAATGTCTATATTGATGGGAGAATTGAATAGTTTTTTTATGACTATCATATCAAACCATCGAAAAAAATTTTCTAAAAGTCTAATTTATAAGA